TGTGTGTGTGTGTGTGTGTGTGTGTGTGTGTGTGTGTGTGTGTGTGTGTGTGTGTGAATGTGAGTGTATCTGAGCTTGACTGCGTGTCAGTGTGTGTGTGTGTGTGTGTGTGCGTGTGTGTGCGTGTGTGTCACACAGTGTGTGTGAATGTGTGTGAGTGTGACTGTGTCAATGTATGTGTGTGTGTGTCAACGTGTGTGTGTGTGTGTGTGAATGTATGTGTGTGTTTGTGACTGCGTTTGTGCACGTGCGTGTGTGTTTTTAAACTGTGTTTCTGTGCATAGATCTATGTGCTACAGGTTTTATCAATTCATTCTGTACCGTCTTTCAATTTTCATATTGCCACCACAATACTTGAAAGTTTGACATAAAACATTCATTGAAAAAAATGGCTGCTTTAGTCTTTCGTGCGTTCTTTTTCACTTAAATATACTCTAATTCCTGATGTCTATATGCCCATAGATTCAGGCGAAGATACGTGTCTGGGAACAGGACCTCAGATGGTTGGTGTAGTTCGCACAGGAGCGACCTGCACAGTCCTGAGGGCGGCGGGATCTGTGACTTCTCAGACCGGTGGGTATGGTTTACTGGCCTGGTGTCCGGTATATCGTGGTTGGGGCGGGTTTTCTTCGGGGCAGCAGGAGCGCTTTCCCTCCCGACTCAGCTAGGTTCCCCGGTAGGTTTTGCACGACGGGAGTTTATATTGTGGTGGGACTAACCAACTCCCGGTGTGCCAAACTCTATCACATCCCTCAACAAAGACGGGGGGCGCCACAGACTTTCTACAACCTATGATCCACTGCTCACGGACTCACATGTGTTATCTGCGTGACGTCACGGAAGCGGTGGATCGCTCATTCCTTGACAAAGACTGGAGTTGTACAGTCGAAAATTTGGGTGACTCCAATATTTTTGTGTTGGAAATTGCACGCAGTTCCATCTTGTTTCATAATGAAATTTAATAATATACATTTTGCCTTCCACTATAGCTATGCGTCAGTAGAGTGGTACTGTGAGAGGCCGTGGAACGTGTCCTGTGACCAGTCGGTGTACCACGGCTTCGATTGGTTCCGGTCCGTCCAGGAACTGGGGATAACTGAGGAGGAAAGATCCTACTTCAAAAAGGGGTGAAGTACCAATATATAACAGGGTAGAGACTCCAATCTGGGTTGGTGGAAAAAGGAGTCCATAGGAGTTCATAGAAACTCTAAGTACCCATAGAAACTCTAAGTACTCATAGAAACTAGAAGTACACATAAAAACTAGAAGTACACACACAAGAAAAAATTGTACCTATGGTCTTTCGTAGAATTTCGTAGAAACCACCGGACTGCTTTTTCCACCCCCAAATCGGACTGGACTGCTTTTTCCGCCAATCGGACTGGACTCCTTTTTCCACCAACCCCTCCAATCTCGCATAGAATCACCGATCATACCGGTAGAGATCCCAAGTCTCTGTCCACAGAGGGTCGACGGTCATCAGGATTTAACGAAGAGTAGTCAAATCAAGTGAATCTTTATTGCACAACAATTGTAACGGGTACAATGCATGGCAAACTCTTCAGTACTACATATCTAGCTAACATCTACTCTCACGTCTACAGTGACTACAAGTTCTATGTATCGAAAATAACATACTCTTTCAAAAAGGTAAATATAGTACATGTATGTATATGGAGCATGGCTTACATGATAATGTGCATGTCTTGAGTTCTATATATGACTGTACAAACTAGAATGTACATCAGTTGGCGGATATAATATGATTTCTTTTATCTAAAGCTTTGGATATATACATGGAAGTTTCGTCGGAACAGGACATGAGTAGAGTAAAAGTATCTGAGATTGTTTTAGGTAAAGTTATATGTGCCTTGTTGGTGATCTCATCCAGAACTTACAAGTCAATCCATTGATCTGAAGGGACATGAACTGACGTTGAAAAGCTGTCTGGCTATAAAGAGAATATTTCCACATGCACTGATTCAGAGTTTAATCGGGATCTCTAGTCATGATTATTACTGGTAAAATCAACGATTGTACTGACAGAGATCCTGATATTGTTATCTCAGAGACTCCAATCGCAATATCTACTGCAGTACTGGTAGAATCGGCGATTTTGCTAGATTCCAGTCTGTCCTGACAGCCATAACAGGGCTGATAGATATTGGCATGCAGTGAACGTTGACACGAAATCATGTGAGAGAACCAAAGAGAAATTTACAAGGGCAAAGTTTAGAATCAAACAAGGTTAAATTAAATTATTTTATCATACCACATCTAAGTCCAGCTCATTAACAACTCAGCTAAATCGTTAATATTTTGGTATTTATGTGCTTTCTCCAGGGAACCTCCTTGGCATGAATTTACGGCTATCAAGTCTATCATAAAAGTGAAAAAAGGTACGACATCTACAATTTTGGTGGTAGGACACCAAGATGGCGACCGGACTGAGCAGCTACCGAGGTGCATGCCGGGTCTTCCTGCCCCGTTGCCTTCTGGTACTATCGCAATGGCCGATGGGTATCCCGTGTTTGCCAGGGACCACGATTAACGATGCCTCTGACTGGAAGAAATGTCTACAGAATTCAGCGCTGGATTTCCTCGGGGATTCGACCACTCGACAGTGGTTTTACTACATGGCAAAATACATGCAGATGGAGGTCAGAAATAGCCCTTACTTCTTATCGTTAACTGCCGGTACCCATCTACGCAGAGGA